AGTTTTTGTCTAGAGTTCCTACATTTCTTGGGTTTTCATAATGGTCCACCACCTTGAGGAACGAGACACACGGAAAATTAGATGTAATTGTTTTAGAGTGTATTAGAGATAGGACCTATAGGTTTAAGTTAGCTACCCTACTGTATGTATTTATGTTTCACAGCTTAAAATATTTGACATACTAAGAAGACCTTCCAATCTTATATTGAGTTACTGGGTGATTGTTGATGTGTTTTATCACAGGTGGTAAATGTAGAGCTGATTTGAATAACTTGATATACTGCAGTTGGATATCTTAACCTATAAATGTATGTCAAAGTGTATTCAATAATTGATGTATTATTTGTATTAGGTTAAAATCTAAATATTTAAAGTAAATAGTAACTAAAAGCTGTCAAATAAATGTAGTGGTGTAAAAAGTACAATATTGTACAACATGTAGTGAAGTACAAGTATTAAGTAGCATAAACTGAGACTACTCAGGGGTGTACTTCAAAATTGTACATAAGTACTTTAATAAATGTACCTTGTTAGAATCAGAAACAGGTTTAGTAGCTTTACACGTACGAGGAATTTGACTTGGTGTCGTGGTGCATACATAAAACCCTAACCCAAAAATCGGCAGTAATAACTGGTTATACCCATTGAAATTGCAAGTTGAAAACAGCTATTGCCAATCTCTTACAATATGAGTTAAGTTATACAAAGAACGCAGGGTCTTAACTCGTGTGGACACAGGTTTGACCCCCTGTGAGATTCACACGACACATAACGTAGTTTACCTTCAGTAAAACGTGTGACATCAATAACACATGTGACATTACGAGTTTAAAACACATTTGAGTTACCTTTATGTGATATAAACACTGTGCCTTGAGCTCCGGGCTGAATAAACGTCTGCTAAATAACAACAGCGAAGACGCGGAGTTTCGCAGAGACACAATCGCCATGTTGAAATAACGATGGTGATCAACAGGAACCAACGAGTGAGCACGAAAGAAGACGAGCACGTTTTGTTGACAAACAAGTTCGGAAGGGCTCATCGAGAAAGGAGCGCCCTCTAGAGGCGAACAGCAGCCACTACAGGGGACACATGTAACATAAGATAAGATATAGTTTATTAGTCCCGATTTGGGAAATATTTTTGTTGCCGAAGCATGTTCAACAAATATTGCACATCATTAGAAATGAAAAATATTAGAATAATAAACAATCATAAACATCTAAAAATAGCATACAAAACGAACCAAAAGAGTGAAAATATATAAGAGTTGACCGTGAAGAAAACATATCTAAACTATCTGATGAATAAAACTCCTATTGAAAGGCTGAATTACAGCTAACACAATTTAAATGTGGGATAATATTTACATTTAGTGTGCAATAATGGGTGCTAGTGGAGTGCACGCGTCTCAAACAAGCCTAGTTTGTTTACAAAATTGCGGCGCAACTTGGTGGGCAGTACCCTGGAAAGAAATCTCTGCGTGAGAAATACAAGGTGTGGCGTGTGAGCGTGTGAATGGAGTGAAATGCGCTGGAGAGAGAGCTCTGGAGCTACCAAATAAGGAAGCTTAACAGGACAGCTAGCCAAACGTTCCAACTGAACGCTGTAGGCTACAATATTGTAGCCACGGTACTCTCGCGCAGTGAGAAGATGAAAAGGAACAGATCCTCTGATGACACTGGCTGATATAGCTGGTGTCACGTGGGTCACAGGTGACTTTGTTGTTATTGGTACTCCTAGGCGCATGGGCGCGATGGACATATCTGCTAAAGCAGCACCTCTGGCGGTCGGTAGGGACGAAATAGAACCACAGTAGCTCCCAAACTTTTTAAGTAGGCTAAATATATAAGCTGATTGTTACAATTCCTGACATTCTTTCACTTTGTAAAAGCAAAATATTACTGCCCAAGACTAAACAAGTCTAAACTCTAACTATACCTTCTGTCACACTTGCAAGTTCCATATGCACAGCGCTGAATGCAATCTTACATTAGCACCTAGCTAAGGATGCTAACGTAAGATTGAACTTCTGCTTTCTAGGCACGGGCTTAGCGAAAGGCCAGTTGTTACTGTAATAAACATTTATCACAAACTTAAAGGGAGGGAATCCTCATGACACGCATTTAAACATTTTTATCATCCGATAAAACAGACCAGTCTCTGCCAGTCTTTTTTTTTTTTTTTTATCCGGTGACGTTATCAGTGATTTTAAGCTGATTAATTACCGAAATAACATCAACCCTGTGGGCGGCGCCATTTTGACGAGTCACATGACTTATTTTACCGGACGTGACGTGAACTATGCGTTTGGTGTCGAGGACAAATTGACGTATGTGCTTTGTTCATGTTGTTTACTGTAGTTACTCTCACAATTATATTTAAATATGCCTCTGTGGTGACACCATATTGGTGATCATAATTCACCTTGTTTGTGTTGTTGCTACAGGGACCCTTTATGGGAAACACCGGTAGCGTTAGCTAGTCATTCCTGCTAGCTTGTCAATGAGAGCAGTTCATGTAACCTCCGAGTGTTTAATGGATAATAAAGTGTGGAAGTCCATTCTTAATACACCGCCTCCGACTTCCTTTTCACGGCACTACACCTCATTGTATCGCGAAACATTGCCACAATTCGGATAGGAACAATCCACGGAATGCTCGGTTCCATCTATTGCCAACGTTCGGAGGCAGTGGCTCGCGAAATGTGCTCGGCCCGAACCGAAAGATCCACAGGCGCATGTATGCAGCGAACATTTCAAGTTTCTGGACGACTACTCTGAGAGTATGATGAAACATAAAATGGGATTTATTAATCTCTTCAGAATGGGGGTTCACTGTCCTCATAGTTCCTATAGGCCAGACCGGAGGAACAAGAGGCTCACTGCCCTTGTTTACCTCGCACTCTCCTCCAGCCTCTTAGCTCTTAGCCTTCGTCATGCCCTCGCCTTGACGTCAGGCGAAGATGGCGTGGCACACTGCTTTTCCTCTCGACTTGGGTCTCCGGTTCGAGAGACAGATGGGCGCGGGAAGAAAGCAGGATGGCGAGGGATGCCAGTCACTTGCTACTCTCAGTACTGGCTTTCTTGCTCTAGCCCCTTGTTTTCGCCGGCTCTACCCCAAAGAGGCGTGTCCCACCGACTCATCAGAGGGAATCCCTATTCCACTCTTCAGAGACAGTAGGCCTGATGACTCACTTTTCCTCGGTCAACTCCACCAAGCCCGTGGATCAATACCAGGTGGGATCCGCGGAGGGATCCCTCCACAAGGTCCGTGCAGGTCGACCCTTCGTGCTGGTTCCCCATCTGGATCTTGGTCTGACCTGCGCCTAATTAGCGAAGCGACCGGACCCTCGGCGGAACCCTAGGTCAGTCTCGACCAACTAGTCACCGGGTCCCTGTTTTTCAAACCCCGAGAGACGACCTCTGACGATGGGGGCGCTGGGCTGGGTGCCTATTCGCCCCTCTTCTACCTACCTACTTTACTATTTGGATCAAATGGCGAACGAAGGTTCCTCCATCTATTTTCTCGCTTGCACATCCAGATGCCAGACACACAAGTTGGAGGCGAGTGCTTCGTGTGCAACGTAAGGCGTAAAATGGACAGAAAAGCTGTGGAACTTTATTAGGTGCGGAACGGGTAA